ATTACACATGTCAGTCTAGTTTAAAAAACTCTTAAGAGATATTACTTTTCAGGAGTCTGGTAAATACCAAATTAGATTTCTTTATCTCCCCCTCCCCAACAATAAAATATCCTCAGTTATGCACCAAATGTAATGCTGACAGTGCAAAGAACTACCGATTACCACACAACAAAACTATGTTCCAAAACATAAGACGCACCACAGGAAAAAAGATTTGGAAACAACTCCCTTATGTAAGCAAGTTATAGCTTTGTTTAGTAATTCAGCACTTCTGATGTCAATATTATTCATTAATCTCTGTAGGTTAAAAGAATTTTATACTGTCAGTTATACTGGTTTCAAAGTCAGTTTGGGTCCAGAAGCTACAGCTGGTTTCATAAGCACAGAGTCCAAGCCAGTAAATCCTGCTAACAAAGACATTGTTCTATACACAATCAGCTCATGTATCTCTATATCGTATTAGCAGAACCAGGGATGTACTACAAGGACACCTGACTGCACAGCTCATGCTGTCAGGACTCGTCAGCTCCAGCTTAGTACTGCTCTTTCCACTCCAGGGTTTCTAGGCCACATTCCACAGCAAAAGAGATTCCAGGAAAGTGTTTTGGTCAGGTCAAACACCAGCTCTGAGCCAGCACCATACTCCTACTAGTTCTGCAAGAGTGTGGGGAACTGGTACTTGCACAGATGCTATCAAGCATCAGGAAGACTGGCAGAAAACCAGAGTTAAGCACTGTTAAACTAACCCCACACAGCTGAGCATACCTGCATAGCATTCCACTCATTAGCTCAGGTAAACATGGTCTTTGACCCCAGAAGAACACAGATTTTCCAAATACACAACCATCGAAATAATTTTCTTCCATCATATGCATATTAGCATAGGCCATTTGGAGAGGTTATAAAATATCTGGCACTTTTCGGAAGTGTAGTAGAACAATTACCTATGGAACTGGTTTGCCTCACAATACTATTTTTCCGCTTCAGGGGAAAGCTTCTGAATAAATATTCACAGCTATAATGGCAACATGAGATTAGTACCACCTTCACTTTCTGCAAACAGCAAGTTCACTTTCTACTACCATTGCATTACTGAATCAGAGGTCTAATCAACGCTAGCATCATTTGATTGAGTTTTCAAACAGAACCACCTCCGTACCGCTCTCTTCTCATTATTCCCAACATGAAAATACAGTGTGAAAATACCTCACACTGCTCTTCATGAAGGGAATGAGGGGAAAAATCCCACCCAGGGAATCAGAATTGCCTTTATCCTTCAAAAGGACTTCAGAAAGCACTTGAGGAATATCAGCTTGAAGATGTTTCCATTCTTGCTGCAAAAGTGAGCTAACCCCAACATCAGCAAAATCAGAGTCTGGACATCTGTTTATACCTGCAGATGAGTAAACAATGCCAAAATATACACAGACAGAATCGTATGTGCTTTCTAATACAAGAAGTTTTAAATCTTTATTTGAGGTAGTAAAAACTCATCCAAAAAAAGCTCAGCTTACCTGTGCCAGAACAACATTCCTTCAAAGGTTTTGGCTGGGACAGAGTTAATTTTCTTCATAGTAGCTAGTATGGGGCTATGTTTTGGTTTTGTGCTGAAAACAGTGTTGATAACACAGGGATGTTTTTGTTACTGCTAAGCAGCACTTACACAGAGTCAAGGCCTTTTCTTCCCTCACCCCACCCCATCAGCAAGGAGGCTGGGGGTGCACAAGTTGGGAGAAGACACTGCCAGGACAGCTGACCCCAACTGACCAAAGGGATACTCCATACCATATGATGTCATGCTCAGTATATAAAGCAAGGGAAGAAGAGAGTGAGGGGGGAGGATATTCAGAGTGATGCCATTTGTCTTACCAAATAACCACTATGCACGATAGAGGCCTGCTGCCCTGGAGATGGATTAACACCTGCCTGCCAGTGGGAACCAGTGAATGAACTCCTTGGTTTGCTTTGCTTGCGTGCACAGCTTTTGCTCTACCTATGAAACTGCCTTTATCTCAACCCACAGGTTCTCATTTTTACTCTGCCCATTCTCTTCCCCATCCCACAGGGAGAAGTGAGTGAGCAGCTTTTTGGTGCTTAGTTGCCAGCTGGGCAATTAAGGTGTAAAACTACGACAGAGGTGTGTATACAGGGAAGAAGATGGTGTCTCACATCTTCAAGAGAAACTGCTCTGAGTAACCTCTTCTTAAAGCAGTTGCTTTGTAGAAGCCTTTTAGTAATTGAATATTTTACCCACAGGTGCCACAAACATACCAATTTGCCAGAACTGGGGAAAACTTACTGTTTCAGATATTAGGAATTTTTTTCTTTTTTTTTTTTTTTTAAGAGAACTTCAACTTCATACAATCCATTGCCCTTATAAATACTCTTTGAAGGAGAGAGGAAAACTACTTCGTCTAAGAACAACTCACCACCTTAATAACTACCTTACCTCAGGGAAGCTTTCTTGCTATTTTCCATTCTATTCAGAACAAGCTCCCTATTGTACACCATGATCTACTCCCCTCAGAAACAAGAAAGCTTACTAAAGAGGCCTTGGCCATGTTGGTGAAAGACTGGGAGAACAAAGTAGGAATGAAAGTCTTTTACAAGCTACAGAAAAATGGAATTTAAACATACTAGACTGCAAAAACTCAAGCTTTTTATTTTATGAATGAAACCTAGAAAGTTTCATTTCTTAATATATACACAAGAGCCATCTATGCTGAAACGCAAGCGAAGCAAAGAAGGAGTTTTGTGAGGTCAGATGAACTTCACCTGCCCAATATTTTATCTTATCTGCAGGTGAGTATTCCAAAGTCCAATACCAACAAGAGAAAGCAAAATGCTTATTTAATTACTGCAGCATACAGCATGACAAAGTGAAAACATGTTTAGTTAGGCTTTAGACTTCTGAAAGTGTTTAAAACAGTATCACTTCAGTATTTGAGTCCCTGTTAAATCTACTATCTGCAATCACAAATATCTTTTCAGTGCTACTTTAGAATTAAGGCAATGCACTGCTATCCACCAACCCAAAACTAAACTCAGCAGGACATCTTATTTACAAGGTAGCTCCTTTAAACCATTGCAATACTTTAATTAAAGTACTACAAGCACAAAGACCCCTGCTTTTGAAACACGGCACACCATTGCAGATATCTGTGGACTGTTTTTATGTCAATAATAAATTATGTATCAACTAAATCATTATGATTGGCAGACTAGTCAGGTCTATAATGAGAAGGACAACTACACTAATTAACTGGGTAGGGATCACTTAGGGTTTCAGAGCAGTGAAAAATGAAACTGGTAGCATTAGCTAGCCACTGCAGATTCAGTGAAAAACAAACTGAAATGGATGCAGGGAGGGAGCTACACGTTTCCTTTATGCTTGTGAAGCTTAAAGCAAAGCTAGAGTTTACAATGTAATCTTGTGGAAAGAGACTCCAACATACTGTATCTGAAACCACAAAAGATTCCTTATTATTCTCTCTATACAAAAAGTCTACACTATGCTATATATATATACACAGTGTTATACAGCTTTAACATGCCAAAACAATTAAAAAAAAAAAAAACTAGTCACAGCTATTAAAAGCATTTTGTAATGTCTGGAGAGTTTAGACCTTGTTCCAGCTCTGTCGAGAGGAATCATTCCGTAACAGTCATTTCAACAAATAACGCATATTTACTATGACAGAAAACTAAATTGCTACTTCTTTTTTCATTTCTTAACCTGACAGTTACAAATGGGCCAAGTTTAAGAAAGTTAAGTATCAGCATTTTAGCTAATGATGAGCTTTATCCCCACAAAACTTCACAAGAACATGTTGATAAGACACTCCATAGCCTACAATCAATGATTCTACTAAAAGAGAATACAGATTCAATCCAAGTGAAATAGAACTTTTTTAATACAGAAGCTGCCTCTAAAATCCCCAATGCTGTAGTACAGTATTAAAATGCAAACTTAATCCTCAAATTGAAGACAGCATTAGCCACATCCAGGGTTTACATACTCCATGTGTCACCATAGAGCTTACCTCAAATTTAGTTTTTATGTACTGAAAAGAACAAAAAGGCAGCACACTAAAAATTTTTCCCTTCAAAGCCATTTTAACTGTATAGATGCTTAATAGATAACAATCCTTGGAGGAAAAAAAATTCTCCCTTCTCCTCTTCAAGAGTCTTCAACATTGATATACTTTCATTAAAGAAAGAGGCTATTGACTCTACTAGAAGACTTTCTGACACCTACTCTGAAGAAATACAGCTACAAGCAACAAATTTATTTTCATTACGGTATGCTCTTTCAGGAAACACTGCTGCAGTCAGTCTCAAGGTCTGGGCTTGCAGAAAAAAAAAAAAAAAGACAGTCCAACACTTACCTCAAATTTAGTTTTTATGTACTGAAAAGAACAAAAAGGCAGCACACTAAAAATTTTTCCCTTCAAAGCCATTTTAACTGTATAGATGCTTAATAGATAACAATCCTTGGAGGAAAAAAAATTCTCCCTTCTCCTCTTCAAGAGTCTTCAACATTGATATACTTTCATTAAAGAAAGAGGCTATTGACTCTACTAGAAGACTTTCTGACACCTACTCTGAAGAAATACAGCTACAAGCAACAAATTTATTTTCATTACAGTATGCTCTTTCAGGAAACACTGCTGCAGTCAGTCTCAAGGTCTGGGCTTGCAGAAAAAAAAAAAAAAAAACCAATGCATTTTGCCTCACACAAAGGTAAAAGCAAACCCAATTCAGAAACACTGACTATGTTAATCTAGATTGTCTGGGTTGGGCAAGAATACATAACATTATGACGATCAGCTACTTAAGTGAAATGAGCTCTTTAGAAGCATCTCTTCAAATTATGATGGCTTCAAAAGGCTTGTCTACTTTTTGCTACAAAAAAAATAAATCATGTTTTCCTTAAGTAGTGCTTTAAAGTTTAATATTAAAGTGCCAAAACCACTTGATATTCTCCAAATAATACTTACTTCATTTCCATGTTTCTGCAGAAATTCTATTTCCTGTTGTGTGAAAGTAGTCATTGAAATTGACTTCACTCTGTGGGGTGGATTCAAGCCCCGTCTAAAAGAAGAAGTAGTATTTAGTCAGTATTCAGGAAATCTGTCATCATACAAACACTTTTAACATTACAACGAGAAGTCAGTCAGTTTTAAACTCGGGAGCCATCTCTGTAAAACACATCTATTTTGTTACTGCCATACAACTTAAAGCTGTGTAAGTTCATCTCATAATAACATTCAGCTTGCAAAGTCAAATAATTGAGCTTTAGGGGAGACCAATGTTTGTAACTGCACATGCAAACTCACTCTGACACTTTCTATGCAAGTTTATGAAAACATAATTTGGCTTTTTTTTTTTTAAATCCTAGCCTACTTCCCCAGATTCGTTCACCTTTGCCTCTACCCTTCATCTTTCAATCTTGGGCCCCTCTGTTGCAGTTTCCTGTCCCCTCCAACTCCTACCTCACTTCAATCTATTTTTACTACAACTGCTACCCAATCACTAGATTTCTTCAAGCTAAACCCTCTGGCTCAAATTCTTTTTCTCTTGCTTTAAGCTATACTTCCCGTTTCCTCCCACCATCTTTTTCTAGTTTAGTTTTTGCCCTTCTATCTACAGCTCTGTCATCTTCCTGCTCCTCAAAACTGTGACAAACAACAAAAGCAAAAATACAATGTTTTTCTTATGCTTTCAAATGAGAGATACCATTACTAATGCAACAGCTCCAAACTTCAGCAGCTCTGCCTTAAGCAAAGGTTGGCACCATCCACCCATCCAGAGCAGCGCCTGCTGCAGCAGGGCTAACACAAACTCAAGTCACTTGTGCTGCCAAAGTGTGACATTGTCAAACCCAGTTCACTCAAAACCTGCACAGAGCAAAATCCTGCCGAGCAACAGTGCCAGTGTAAGATAAAGGCTTCTTTCTTTTCAAGCTTTTTCTTTAAATACATGCTAACTACAGCTTTTGCCCACAAACACAATTAAAAACAAGCCGTGTTTTGCTCAATGGAAACAAGAACATTACATCCCACGTACGCCGGGCAGCAGAGACACTAACTCAGGCAATACAATGGGGTTAGTTTAACACTCAAGTTAATCAGGCCTGCATTTTTGAGATACCATCTTTTAAAAAAAAAATTACTATACATAAACTATGAGATATCAAAGAACAAAAATTTCTGTGGTTATGTATGAGAAGAACATTTCCAGAATGGAAACCGGGGGAAACTTTTCAGGGATGTAATATGGGGCTAACAAATTGCTAACAAATCAACTGATAAGGGTTAGTTAGTTTTATTGCTTATATATACTACAATGCTTTAATTATAAATTTGGTTCAGATGGCTTTTAGGAATCCCAAAAAAATCACACCCAACTTAAGACAATTATTAGTTTTCTTTAAACTCTGTGATTATTCCAAGAACACTAACTATAAATTAAACTGTTATCCATCAAAACAGCATATGACAAATTTAATGTTCCAAATATTAACACTTTAAAGAAAAGTTTTAGCATTTTGAGTAAGTGTGATGGAAATAAAATTGTTGTGCATTTAGCTTGCAAATTCACCTTGACAGTCAAATTCACATTGTACCTGTAAAACAACAACTCTGATCCTGTGTTATAAAAAAATTCAATGTTCTTAGTTAAAAGTTGGATATTTGTTAGAACACTAAGCAGTAGCATTTTAGCCTAAACTTTGTTAAAAAACAGATATAAGGCAATGTTTGAAACACTTGGATAAAAATAAACATTGCATTTTGCCAAGAAATGCAATGAACTCAAGAGTACCGTAAAAACAGAAGTCATATGCAAACCTATTGGCATACGAGAATTAATTTTACAGAATGCTATTTGTTTAAGCAAATTTTTTCAATCTGATCATCTAAAATTAGATTCCATGGTTCAGCACCTCAACAAGAAGGCAGAAGTTCTAGTAAGGTTAGTGAGAGGATAAGGTTTCAAGATAAAACACTGTAGAATCACCTATAGAAAAAAACCCACAGAAACAAAGTTGTCATCCACCTGGTATTTCACATAGACCTGCTCCATCAAATATTATATGACAGCTTTCACAGTAAGTATAAAAATGGGTCTGTCTACCTTAGGCTGTTGAATTTGCTTTCCTTCTATTAAGAAAGATGCAGTTAGACACTTGTAATCTATTTAATGATTATTTTAGAAGTTAGGGTTATTCACTAACATTCACATGTTTTTCAGGAGAGCTAGTATTTCTAAACTTCGACACTATCTTCTGCTGGAAATTAATTTTTACTATAAGTATAGTTTAACTGCTATATTGTCCCTACCTTTGCAATTTAAAGGCACTGCACGAGTTATTTAAGCAGTATCTACTCTACACTGATGTACTATGGCTCTTCAAAGCATTTACAGCAGCAAATATTCATCTGCAGTTCTGTTAAACAGCAACATTAAACATACTTAAAGCATAGACAAGATTTTGTTTAGCCTAACTAGAGATTTCCCACACACCTCTCTCTCCAGCGAGGACTGCTCTAGAGCTTTAAGGCTCAGGTTATAAAGTTCACTGATTTACACATTATCTCCATGATGTGGGATAAGATGAACTCTCATTTCTTTTACACCCTCCTGCTAAAAAGGGGGAAGACATGTCCCACTCCTAACAGTCAGATCACAGAAGTGTCAGATGCCTTGCACGACAAAATAGAGCTTGTTGCCACATCCGTGGTCCAAAAGACTAGAAATACTGAATATAACTTCAATAGCCATAAATGCAAAGTTAACTATCAAGCTGCAGTATTATAGATACAAGTAATTCTCATGTTTAACATGGCAAGAGGTGGGAGGAAGCCTATGAAAAGCCTCCTCTTACACTAAAGCTGTGTAAGAAGTCAGAATGCAACACGGTATTCAAGACAAGAGGCTGCATTATACTGCATACAAATATAACCTGAAACACAGGCATTATGTTCCTTAGATAGATTACTTTGATTCTACCACTAGAACAGCTAAACCCTATTTAGTTTTTTTTATGATTTCTAACTAGCATGAGCCACTTTCAATGACATTATACCCAAGAACTGACTAGAACCTCCCTAAAAGAGAGCAGTTGTAGGATTTTCGAAGCAGAACTCGAGAACCAAGCCCAAGTTACTCTTACTCCAAAATCCTAAGTTACTTTATACCCTTCCTTACCTACAGAGATTACTTGATGACCCAAATGATTCACAAACAATTCATCTACATATGGAGGAAGCTTACTGGTAGAGAGCCAAGTACAATTATCTCTTGTGAGGAATTAACAAGCCTTCTTTTTGTATAGAGGGGGGAGAAGAAAAAAGAATAAGAAAAAAAAAAAAAAAAAAATGTATCTACCACTGGCTTTGTTTCTTCCTAGGTATTTGAAAAATGTTTTGCACAGTTCTAACGCTTCACAGTATCCCCTATTTAACAGGGGACAAAATGGACTATAGTCAGTCCAAATTAGTAATGCCTAAATTTATATTGACCCTGGACAAATATTTACAGCCTGCAGCTGTGCAGCAGTACCAGTTACTCCTTTCTCTACTACAGAGCTCCTGAGGAGAGCAACCAAACCTACCTCAGCACTGAATCCAGACTGCAGCTCTTTCCTGAGGCCCTTGGGAAAGATGACCAAGTAAGACTATTCTGCCATCTGCACTTACCCGGCACACCATAGCTAGAACATCTCACACACAGATCCCACTCTTCACTGCCAACTTCTTCATACTCAGCAATGGTTATTTCTGGTGGAATAGCACCATGACAAGAACTTCCAGCTCTAAGACTATCCACTGACCCTCCACTGGATCAGTCCAAGCTTCTAGTGATGCAGCCTATCATAGGGGCAGCTATTGAGAACATGAGATCTCTGTTCTTCAGAGAGCATTGTCAAACTGGTGCTCTCACAAACAAAGGACGCTTTAAGGCCACTGACACAAGATTCTGAAGTCTGGCAACTGAACCATTAAACATTCAAAACACTGTCAACGAGCACTGAACATTTGTAACTAACATAATTTAGTAGCAAATTATGGTCAAACTTGCGATTGTTGGCAGGGCAGCCATTCCAGCATTTCCCTCAAACAAATGTCAGCAAAGTTGTCTGCAAAGGCTAGGGCTGAGAGGGGAAAAAAAGAAAAAAAAAGAAAGAAATTTAAAGAGTGGGCTCTCCAGGGATAGAGGGTCACTTCCATGGAAGGAATGGTGGGCACACAGCTACTCAACACCATTAATGTCCCCCTGTATCAGATTCTAATATAATCAAGTCTAAGCCAGCAAAATCTGATCCCTTAAGAAGCAGGAAGTTAATGAGGCAAGACAAACGCCAAGCCATCACAGAGCACCCTATGTCCCCAAGTGTCTGGAAAACAAACTTTAGAAAACCCAATGTCACAACATTCATTATTATTTCTATGATATTGTTACTAGCAAAAGAGAATATAAGCAGCACTGGCCATTCCTGATACTTGCAGACCTCCCTGGAGACCCTCCACCATCTCACAAGCTCATTTATTTTTAACAGCAAAAGGCTCACATACACATTTAGAAGCACAGTCAAGGTTAATTTAACTTTTTTCTTAAAAAAAACCCCAACAACAAAACACCAACCAAACCAACAACCAAAAAACAAACATCCTTTCTGAACTGCATAGTATTCACTGTGGTATAGACATTTCCTTTGCTCTCCTGCCATGACACTGAAAACAAGAAATACAGTAACATAGGAAATACCCTTAAAAAATGAACACACATGTATACACACATACACACAACACAGAGTCATTTCCCAAATATGCTCCAAAGGTAAAGAAGGACTGGAAAGTCATGCCAACACAGCCAGAATCACTTTCACTCCAACATTTTGTTTAGACCATTTTAATTTCTGCAAAACTTATTTTGCGGAAAGGCACAATAACTCACCACTATTGCAAAGATTTATTTTTTAATTTGCTACTAGTATCTGCTATCAAATACTCCAATCTGGCTGATATATAAGTTCCTCACCCAGGAAAATTTTAAATTTGAAAATTTCAACTAGGAATATTATAAGTAGCCAAAAGAAGGCCACACGATCCAATAATTCTAAGTAA